CCCCTAGTTACTTGCTAGGTAACAAGGGAAGAACAAGACAGGGATTTTACTAGCTTACAGCTAGTAAGCTTTTCGAGAAGCCCTTGACCCAAACAATCTAGCTCCAGACAGAGTTCATGCTCTTCCCTCCTCCATGAATTGCCTCTCGCTGTCTGATAAATGCTCAGAGAAAATGAGACTTAAAGAAGGAAGAAGAGATTAACAGCACATCACAGTGGTTAAGAGCACAGTGGTTCAGGTTGTATCTGGAAATAGCAAGCGGTTGGTGTCTGCTATATTATTATTTAAAGCATGGCAGCTTCACAAAGAAGTGGTCAGAAGCCCCAAATTTAAATGTGAGCTCACTATTTGCTAATTCTGTAACCTGGGAACAGAAAATGACCTCTGTGAACCTGTCTTTTATTTTATTTTTTTTCATCTAGAAAATAAATCTAACTCACAACTCAAAGATTATCCTGAAGATAAAGGGATATAACCACATGAAACACATATCAGTCTCCAGCACACAATGTTGCCCTCAACAGCTGGTGGAGCTGGAGAAAGGTCCCCGTTGCAGATAACACACCATCACTTCTGCATAAAAAGCTGAAGCTCAGAGTGGACACAGCATCTAAAACAAGATTGTTGGGGAACCTGGCTGTTTCAGTCCATGGAGCATGCAATCTTTAATCTCAGGGTCATGAGTTTGAGTCCCATGAGGTTACTTAAAAAAAAAAAAAAAAAAAGAGTAAACAGGGGCACCAGGGTGGCTCAGTCAGTTAAGTGTCCGACTTCAGCTCAGGTCATGATCTTGCAGTTCGTGGGTTTGAACCCCTTGTTGGGTTCTGTGCTGACAGCTCAGATCCTGGAGCCTGCTTCAGATTCTGTGTCTTTCTCTCTCTGCTTCTGCCTTGCTCATGCTCTGTCTCTCTCTCTCTCAAAAATAAATAAACATTAAAAAGAAAAAAAACCAAACTACTACAGTTAAAAAAAAAGTAAACAAACCAAGATTGTTAATGATTATTAATTGTTAATAGCAATGAATAACTGATATTCTGACAAAAAAAACCTCGGTGGGATAAAAATGTCACTTTGGGAACTCCAACTGGTCTTAACAGTTATTAAAGAAAAGTAAATTAATTTTATGAGCCACTGTGAAAATTAGCTTAGGTACACTAAAGGGAAGTTTATTTCACTGAAACTCAGGCCCTTCCAAAGTGACTCAATCAAAAGGACAGGTTTCTTCTGCATTGTACCTTTTCTCCCTCTACTTTCCTCATTCTAAGATAAGAATATTGGCCAGGTGCCTGGCTGACTCAGTCAGTAGAGCCTGAGACTCTTCATCTTGGGGTTGTAAGTTTGGGCCCCATATTGGGTATAGAGATTATTTAAAAATATAAAACCTAAAAAAATAAAGTAAAATAAAATATTGCCCCCTACAAGGTAGAAACAAAATTTCAAAATGAAAGCAAATTAGCTCTTGGGAAGAACAGACACCAAGATCCCAAAGTGCCACATAAAGTTCCATAAGAGGGACCTTCACTGTGCCATGGGGGTCCAGGAAGATGGCTCTCAGCTGGCAGGCTCAGGCATGGGTATAAAAAGAGCATTTGATCATGGCTTTGAAGGACAACCTACAGGGGGCACCTGGGTGACTCAGTCGGTTAAGTCTGACTCTTGATTTCAGCTCAGGTCATGATCTCTCGGTTTGTGAGATCGAGTCCTGTGTGGGGCTCTGTGCTGACAGCACAGAGCCTTCTTGAGATTCTCTCTCTCCCTCTCTCTCTCTGCCCCTCCCCTGCTCACACTGGCTCCCTTTCTCTGTCTCTCTCTCAAAAATAAGTAAATAAGTAAACTTAAAAAAAAAAGAAAGAAAGAAAGAAAGAAAGAAAGAAAGGAAAGAAGGATAAACTACAGTGGTCCCTGGCTGGCTCAGTTGGTAGAACATGAGCCTCTTGATCTTAGGGTTGTGAGTTCCAGCCCCATGTGGGGGGTAGAGTTTACTTTAAAAGTAAATAAATATATATCTAAAGGACAAACTGCAGTTGAAGAGAACACCAGCAAGGTGCCGCCTCTGGCATCAACCACTCCCCTAGTCCTGACCACCCAGCCCCAGAGGCAGCTCTGTTCTTCAGTGCACCCGGGCCATCCCTGCCTAGAAGCAGCTCCAGGTGAGCAACATGCTCGGGCTGTGAGTGAGCTTCATATGGCTCATGTCAGGAGGAATATCACCTCCTCTGCAAAGCCTTCCCTGAGCACCTGCCCTTCTAAGGCTCCCACGCAGATATGCCCACGTACCCTGGACTCCCCGCCCCAGCCCCTTGCCCAACACACCCAACTCCACACAAAGTCACATGAACATTCCATTTCGCTTTCTTTATAGTACTTACAACTATGAAAAATGATCTTGTTTGTTTGTTTGTTTTTACTGGTTTCTTTCTGCCCCTCCCATCCTCTGCTAGAAATCGTAAGCTCCGTGCACGCCTAGATATTGCCTTTCTGGTTCACCCTTACATTCTCGGCACCTGGCAGGAAGTAAAGAACTCACTAAATATTTATTGAATCAATAAAGTAACACAGAAGAGCGTGATCAAGTTGCAGAGGCAGAAAAACAAGAGCTGCATTTGAGAAAATGGTGAGTAGCTCATTTTGGTGCAGCCAGGCACGTACAGAGGAGGCTACGCGGGCTGCTTGCAGAGCGTCCGGCTGGGGCCGCCGCGGTTTGGATTGAGCAGATAGTGGAGAGCCTCTGAAGTGTCTGGCCCGGAGAGCCTCTGAACAGATCGGTCCTTAGGGAAGGACTGCAAATATAATGAACTGAAAGGAAGCTAGAAAACCCGAGAGAAAACCATTGGTTACCACTAAAATTGGCAAAAATTAAGAAGCCCGATAGGGACGTAATGTACAGCTTAGTGACGATAGTTAACCATACCATATTGCATATTTGAAAGTTGCTTAAGAGATCTTAAGAGTCCTTATCACAAGAAAAAAAAAATGTTTTTAAATAAATTTTAAAGGAAGCAAGTCTAACAAGTGTTGAGAGTATTTAGGGAACAGTTTTCAAACAGTTGAAAATCAATTTGGTGATATCTCTTGAAAGTGATATTTGGCATATTTAAAATGTAGTGATTCTACATGCTGGTATCCAGCCTAAAAAACTAACACCTGTATCTGACATAGGTAAAAATAATATAAGCATTGTTTATGTTCGCTAACATTGTAAAACAATCCATATCTCCCTAATAGTCTGTGTTGTATATGAATAAATAAGCAAATAAAAGAATGATCCTGTAAAAAAATAAAATAAAATAAAATAAAATTTTAATATAAAAAGATCCCATATCCACTAATGGACTGATTAATAAAATATAGTATTATTCATACCATGAAATACCAGGAAATTATAAATAATTTATATCTGGTATATTTATATATAAATATAAATATAAATAATATATATGGATAGATATATGTATATATGGATACATGGATAGATATCAAAAAACATTCAGTGAAACTAAGCAAATCATAGAAAAATAAGTACACATGGAACCATTCATATGTATTTAAAATCATAAAACAATACTACATATTAATTATGGGTGCCATAAACATATAGAAAATACATATTTTTTACACGTTTATTTTATTTTATTTTTTTTTTAATTTTCTTTTCAACGTTTTTTATTTATTTTTGGGACAGAGAGAGACAGAGCATGAACGGGGGAGGGGCAGAGAGAGAGGGAGACACAGAATCGGAAACAGGCTCCAGGCTCCGAGCCATCAGCCCAGAGCCTGACGCGGGGCTCGAACTCACGGACCGCGAGATCATGACCTGGCTGAAGTGGGACGCTTAACCGACTGCGCCACCCAGGCGCCCCACACGTTTATTTTTGGGAGAGAGAGAAAGTGCATGCATGAGTGGAGGTGGGGCAGAGAGAGCAGGGAACAGAGGATTTGAAGCGGGCTCTGTGCTGACAGCAGTGAGCCCGATGTGGGGCTTGAACTCATGAACTGTGAGATCATGACCTGAGCCAAAGTCGGATGCTCAACTGACTGAGCCACCCAGGAGCCCCCATATATAAAATATTTTTAAAGCGCATATCAAACTAAACAGGGGTTCTATGAGGTGAGGACAGAAGGAAGAAATGGAAGTCGAATTAGTATTCAAAGGAAACTTGACCTTATCTCCAATGTTTTATGTCATTAAAAAATTGAAACAGATATGACAAAAATAACAATAGCTGTTAATTTGGGGGTGATGAGAATATAGTCCATCACTTGGAATCAGAAAAGGGATGCTAGACACTGATGGAAAGCCTGAAGGGATTTCAGGACTGGGTAGATTGGTAGAGGGTCTAAACAAGTCTGAAAGGATGGAAAGTTCAAATTTATACTCTTTTTTTTTTTTTTTTTAATTATGAGAGGCACCATTAAGAAAACTAACAAACATTGGGTTCCATTTTTGAAAGGTTTGCTGTGTTAAGGAGGCCTCGACTTGATGTCCAGCAAGAAGACAGAATTCAAAACCCAAGCTGGTGCTTAATAGTGGTCCTGGGAAAGTGAGGAAAAAAATGGGTGCCTCAATTTCCTTCAAAACAAACAAACAGGGTCTCTAGAGGATTCACTCTGTACTTTTGGTTTGTTTACAACACATACAGAAACCCATACTCAGTGCCCTCCACTCAATGAATAAATATTAGTTTCCCTCTTTGAAAGTCAGGTTACTAAATTTAAATACACGTTTCTAGAAGGACTGGGGGGATTCTGATCCCTGACAAGCAATTAACCATTCCAGTAAGGCAACTTGTTAACAGTTTCCTTTCAGTAAGCAACATAGATTAACAGAGCAAACAAGGACCCAAATTCACAATGTTCAAACATAAAACTGTATTTTGAAGTCAAACTCCCTATTCTTACATAAAGATTATCAACTTCTAATTTTCAAAAGAATCCACTTACCCTTATAGTGGTGCCTGACTGGCTCAGTCAGTACAGCATGTGGCTCTTGATCTTGGGGTTGTTGGTGTAGAGATTACTTAAAAAAAAAAAAAAATTAAAAAAAGGAATGCATTTGCCTTTATTAATACGTACCCCCTCTAATATTTCATAATTACATGTTTGTTTAGTGCCATCCTATCCTTTTATAATGTGTTTTGCAACCTCTGAAAAAGTCAATAGTCTGGGGCGCCTGGCTGGCTCAGTCGGTAGGTAGTTGCAGTCATGCAACTCTTGATCTCAGGGTTGTAAGTTTGAGCCACGTTGGGTGTAGAGATAACTTAAAAATAAAATCTTAAAAAAAAAAAATCAATGGTCTTAGCTCTTCCCTAAAGAAGGAAACACAAGACAGTGGGTGACTAGTCAGGGTGACTCACGGACAGAGTCAATAACTGGAACTCAGAACCCAGGGAGCCTGGCATCCTCCGTTCCTAAAACCGCAAGGCTTCTGCTAACCCCAGCAGAATTTACTTCTTCACTTCGCTTCTTTGAGGACCTGGGAACCAGAATATCAGTTTCCAAAGTTTTCTCCTTCAAAAGTAGTCAGCAGTCAGAAATAAAGGTTGGCCTGCAAGTTGTAGCCTTTAAAATTGTTTGAGTATCTGAATTTAAGATTCCATTTTCTAACCTCTGCTTTTTAATAAGGCATAGCTAACCTCCACGGGTACCACCTAACAATCTCCGTAACTAACGTAACTTTGCTGGTGAGCTTTTTGAGGAATCCTCTTTTCAGACCGGGTTACATACAGATCAACTGGTACTGTTTAAACGATTTGCTGTTTGTGTTTGTTCGAGTTAATGCTATCTTGGACACACTCAGCTCCTAACAGCCACAGGGCTGGTATGCTGAAACTGACCTTATAAAGCCAACAGTTAGTGACTCTGTATACAAGGATTTAAGAGATTATTTTACCCGAATAAAGTTGCTATGTAGCCATCCGGAGTGTATGGCGTTTCTTTCCATTAACACACTGAAGATTTTGTAAGCACTTGAAATTAAATGGCTTAAAAAAAAAATTAATATACTAAAATGTAGGTTTACTGACAAAATCAGATATTTTCAGTGAAAAAGCCAACCTGACTGTGGTTTCTGATTGTGCTTTCCTCCTGGCACTTTAAAACGCCTTCACAAATATTTTTTTCACCATCACATATTTCTCATTCCAATTTTATATGTTTTTGAAAAAAGGAACTTAATCACTTATTCAAAGTCACACAGCCAGTTCAGAGCAGAAGTCAAATAAGAGCCCGAATTTAATATAGAAAACTAAGAATCTGATATTGTGTGTCCTTTTCAGTAGGCTGTATTGCCCCCTTATTTTATTTTCCTAAAAAAAAAAAATAATTGTTTACATATCAGTTAAAGTGGTCACATTGGAAAGCTAGCATTAATTATCAGCAGGTCCTTTCTTGAAACAACAAACACAATCAAATTTGTGCTCAAAAATAAGCTATAAATATAATGTTATATCTTATCATTTCATCTATAAGTTGAAGCCTTCATCATATTCATTAATTAAGATGCCATAAATCTTTTCTATCCTATCGCTTACATGTTCTTAAACTAGCATACAAAACACCAAAACGCACATCAGCCACACAACACACACAAATCCATCACTCAGTCTCGGTCCATTAGTCTTGCCAAGGTCGGTATCGAGTATTCCTGAAATTTTCACTTGTAGAATGAATGGATGTTTTGTAAGGATTATCTATTCAGGCAGAAAAAAAAAAAGGAGGGGTGGGGGGGGGATGAAAACAAGAAACAATTAGCTATTCAACTGGTACTGAGCAAATTCCAAGTATGAAATCCTTTGTTTGTTTTTATTTTGTTTTTGTTTTTCTTACCTACCGGAGGACTCCAATTCACGAAAAGGAATACATCTTGTGAGATTTTTCTAGAGCTTTCCACAGACCTCTGTGGAGACCCTCCTTGTCAGTTTTGGCTCTATTTTGGCAGCCCAGGACTGGAATTTAGAGCTGTCTATTTGCATTTCAACACCCTTCTTTTGTTTTCTGTCCTTCCAGAGCTCAGCCAGTTCAAATAGCAGGTAAGGTAGTTAGATCATTCCAATGACCCTAGAAAACTCAAAGGAGAAAACTTGTCCAAACAATGTGGTTATTTTGGCTAAAAACCACCACTTACTGCATTTAGCCAAGCCTACAAAGCCCAAGCTAGACCATCGTGTTAAAAATTTACCTTAGATTGTTCTTAATACTCTCACAGCCCGAGAGAGAGGTTAGAGTGATTGGTGAGGAGGAGGAGGGGAAAGGAGGGGGCAGTTTTGCCTTCTGGAATCTCTCCTGAATAAATATCAACAAAATGTTGAAATGGTCATAGGAATTTACAGGTCACAATATTGCATTCGATTCTGAGAGCAACAGCCTCTATCACTTCTGCTGAAGGAGCTCTCCTATGAGGCACTAACACAATTAAAAGAGAAAAATGCGGGGTGTCTGGCCGGCTTAGCTGGTAGAACATGTCACTCCCTGTCTCAGGGTGGCGAGTTCAGGCTCCATGTTGGGCTTAGAGATTACTTAAAATAAATTTGTATATTTTTTAATGTTTGTTTATTTGTGAGAGACAGAGAGAGAGCAAGAGGGGGAGAGGCAGAGAGAAAGGGAGCGAGTGAATCTGAAGCAGGCTCCACACTGTCAGGGCAAAGCCCTATGTGGGGCTCAAATTCATGAACCGTGAGATCATGACCTGAGCCAAAGTCAGACATTTGGTCGACTGAGCCACCAGGAGACACAAAATAAAATAAAATAAAATAAAATAAAATAAAATAAAATAAAATAAAATAAATAAAATAAAATAAATAAAATAAAATAAAATAAAATAAAATAAAATAAAATAAAATAAAATAGAGAGAGATACAGAGAAAGAGGGAGAAATGCTTGTTAGGTGGAGAGCATTGGAGAGAGTAGGGCCTGAAGGACACCTAGATCCAGATGCAGCTGGTATAGAATTCCTGTCACACAGGCTCAGGTGACCACATGGCCAACATTCTGTCATGTGACCCAGAAGACAGCTTTCCAAGAGTTTAATATTCCAAGAAGCAGCAGATAAATATTTGCAAAGTTGCATATTTTTTTAATGTTTATTTATTTTGAGAAAGAGAAAAAGAGCATAAGCAGGGTAAGGGCAGAGAGAGAAGGAGAGAATCCCAAGCCAGCTCTGTGCTATCAGATCCTGCGTGACCCCATGAACCCTGAGATCATGACCTGAGCCAAAATCAAGACTCGGCTGCTTAACTGACTGAGCCACCCAGGCTTATTTTTTTTATTTTTATTTTTTACATTTATTTATTTTTGATAGAGATGCATCTAAAAAAAAATTTTTTTTTAACATTTATTTATTTTTGATAGAGACAGAGCATGAGCAGGGAAGGGGCAGAGAAAGAAGGAGACACAGAATCAGAAGCAGGCTCCAGGCTCTGAGCTGGCAGCACGGAGCCCGACGCGGGGCTCGAACTCACTAGATCATGACCTGAGCCAAAGTCGGATGTTTAACCGACTGAGCCACCCAGGCACCCCAAGTTGCATATTTTTAATAGGCAAATCCCCCAGGGTCCATCTTGAAGGTCAGTGTTTGGAAAAAGACTGTAATTATAATGAGGCCATACAGTCACAGATGAGAGATGGAAGGGACCATGAAGTTCATTTCCTCAAGGTCCATGGTTACACAGCCTATTTGCTATGGGCCTGGAACTGCGGGGTAGACCCCACAGCCATGCTCTTGGGCTTTTGGTTTCCAAACCCGCCTACATGAGATCCACAGTGAGATCAGATTATGTGGAATCCCGGGACATAGCAAGTCAGCCCAGAATGAAGATACAGCTGCATAGATTCCAAAGGCTGGAACTTGTTGTCACCTGAAACATCCATCTGAGAAATTGCTGACTCCCAGGCACCCCTCGATGTGCATCTCTCCTTCTAACTTGCATGGTCTACAGCTGCAACTGTTCTTAGAACTATTAGTGCTTCCACTGGGTGGCTCAGTTGATTAAGCATCTGACTCTCTGTTTGGGTTCAGGTCATGATCTCACAGTTCATGCGTTCCAACCCTACATCGGGATCTGCGTTTACAGCACGGAACCTGCTTGGGATTCTCTTTCTCTGTTCCTTCCCTATTTGTGCTCTCTCTCTCTCTCAAAATAAATAAACTTTAGAAATAAAAAAAAAGAAACAAAGAAAATGTGCTGATCCCTCTACTTCCTCCCAATTCATCAGCCCTCTGCTTTTTTCACTCTCCTCTTTATCAAGTTTGACTCCATGTTGTAATATCCTTGTCACAAATCCATCCAGGAAAACATCAGCCCTGAATGAACCCACTCATCTCTTTCCCCCTTGCTTGTATGCAAGCAGTCATATTCTGCTGGAGAGAATCAAAAGAGTAGATGGTTTCATAATCCCCAACTTCAAATGGACCCTTTCCAATAACTACTTGGAATCTTCTCCACCATTCTTACAGTTTCGGCACACCTATCTCTCCCTTTACCTCTCCATCTTTTAGTACTCAGATGAGGGCGCTCTAGACCTCTTTCTTCCAGCAGCAGCCCTGCTCTGTCTCCCAGTTCATGATGAATGGGACTCTTTCTCTGTGTGTTCAATCCTTCCACCTGTGCTTTATGTTCTCTCCCGTCATCTTCAGCCACAACACTTTTATCACTTTCTTCTCAAATCACACATCAATTCTATCAGAAAAGCCTACCGAGTCTGCCTTCAAACTATGTTGAAAATCCAACCATTTCTCATGATCACCACTGCAACCAACCAAGACACAATCATCTTCCAACTAGATAATTAATGGTCTCTGAGCTTTGCCCCTCACAGTCTATTCTCAACATGGCAACCCTAGTGATCTTTCAAAATCATAACTCAGAGCATGTCCTCCTTTGCTTAAAATCTTCCAACGGCTTTCCATCTACCCGGAGTAAAAGCCAAAGACTCTATGAAGGTCTTTAAGATTCCATCAGCACTGTCCAACAGAACTTTCTGTGATGATGGAAATTATTTCTATTTCACTGTCCAATACAGTAACCACTAGCTACATGTGGCTATTGAGCACTTGGAATGTGGGTAGTGCAATTAAGAATATGGATCTGTGGGGTGCCTGTATGGCTTAGTCAGTTGAGCATCTGACTCTTGATTTTGGCTCAGGTCATGATCTGACCATTCGTGAGATCCAGCCCTGCCTTGGGCTCTGTGCTGACAGCACAGAGCTTGCTTGGGATTCTCTCTCCTGCTTGCACGTGTGCACACACTCTCTCTTTCTCTCTCAAAAAAAAAAAAAAATTAAAAAAAGAATATGAATTCATATTTTTAAATAACTGATTTACATTAAAATAGCCACCTATGGCTAGTGGCTACAATTTTGGAAAGCACAATTCTATGTGACCTCTTCCCATCCACCCTATCCTCCATTTCCTGACTCTATATCACACTAAAAAATCTCCTTTAAAGTCAGGTGATGTCACTTCTCTGCACAAAAATCTCCATGGCTGGGGCATCTGGGTGGCTCAGTCGGTTGAGCCACCTGACTTCGATTCTGGTCATGACCTTGCAGGTCATGAGTTTAAGCCCCACATTGGGCTCGCAGAACCCGCTTTAGATCCTCTGTCCCTCTCTCACTGCCCCTCCCTCTCTGCCCCTCCCCAGCTTGTGCTCTCTCAAAAGTAAATAAAATATATTTTTTAAAAATCTCCTTAGCTTCCATTTTACTCAAAATAAAAGCCAAAGAATGTGCTTACTTTAATGTACAAGGCTTTATATGGTCCAGCCACCCTACCCAGCTCTGTGGTCTCAGTCCCTAGTCCCATTCTCTTCCTTGTTTACTCCATTCTAGCCACAACACTGGCCTCTTTAGTAGAACATACCAAACATGCTGCTGCCTCAGGGCCTTTGCTCATACTGTTCTCTCTGACTGGGATATCTTCTGCCCAGGATTCATATCACAAGTTCAGAGCACCCTCACTTCTTTCAGGAACACTGCTCCAATGTCTTCTGGTCAAAGAGGCTGATCTTATTTGACCCGAAAGCCCTATCCAAAACAGCATCCCTCCCATCCTATCACTCTCTATCTTATCTCCATACTCTGTTTTTGTTTTTGTTTTGTTTTTTTCTTTTTTTAATAGCACTTATCTCCATCTGGTGAATCCTGTTTGTTTACTTATTGTCTGTCCACTCAGCAGGGCAGGACCTCTTTCTGTTTTGTTCACAATAGTACCCCTAGTACCTGGTTCATCATAGACATTCAAAAAAACAAAAAACAAAACAGCTGAATTTGATGAAAGAATATGGATGGCTTTATGATGCTAAAAGCTGCTTTCAAACTTTCAAACTGTCTCAACCCTTCAGGCCTGACATCCAGCACTTTCCTACAACTATCCCTTGGGGAGAGGTTGAGAATTGGGTTCCTCTCTAAATATAGCATCCTCACGTGCAAGAGAGTAGCTCGGTGCTTTTACTATATTAGCTTGAATCCACACAACAACCCATTTTACTAGTAGAGAAGCAGACAGGTTAAGTAAACTGCTCGAACTCAGCTAGAGTGACCTTCACCTTGCCTCTCATGATGAAGTTTCCATAGTCAACTGAAAAGCCTTCTAAGAGCAACTACATTAAAGTGACCACAAACTTCATGATTAAATCTCTCTTCTGACTGTGCCTTCGTAGGAGAAAATGAGAATAGCTACTATTATTAAGAGACTAAGTGAAAAATAATTCAGTTGAGCTAACAGAAAGTGACTGTATCCTTTATTCTTCCCCTAAATGGCCAAAGTTGTGGGTTTTTTTTTTCTTTCTTTTATCAAATTGCTTTTAGATTTTAAAAATGCTATGCTAGGGGCACTTGGCTGTCTCAGTAGGTTGAGCGTCCAACTTTAGCTCAGGTCATGATCTCACAGTTTGTGGGTTTGAGCCCCACATTGGGCTCTGTGCTGACAGCTCAGGGCCTGGAGCCTGCTTTGGATTTTGTGTCTCCCTTTCTCTCTGCTCCTCCCCTGCTTGCACTCTGTCTCTTTCTCAAAAATAAATAAAAATAAATAAGTAAATAAATATGCTATGCTAAATAAAATATCGTTGGCCTTCATGTTTGAAAATGTTGCTGCTGAGAATGCTATTTTTTATGCTAGAATTTTTACAGTCAGCAAATAAAGTAATGGTCAGTAAATTCAAGACCAGTTACACAGATTGGATCAACTTCCTCTCAACCTGCTGGACAAGAGTGAGTGCTATTTTTTTTTCCCTGGTTTTATGTTTAACATATTAATGAGGAACAGGGATGGTCTCAGTAATTTCAAGCCATAGGTAGTTAACATAGTTATAGCCATTAGTTCTAATTATATATGCCATGAAACCTTTTAGTGGAAATGTCAAAATATAAACATTGGTTTGTGTTTCACATCCTGTTCTTTTCCATTGTTGTCTGACAGAACCACCAGTGAATAGGGAAATTACATCTTTGGCAACAAAAATGAAGATACAGGGGCGCCTGGGTGGCTCAGTCAGTTAAGCATCTGACGCTGATTTCAGCTCAGGTCATGATCTCACGGTGTGTGAGTTTGAGCCCTGAGTCCTGAATCATGTGCAGAGCCTGCTTGAGGTTCTCTCTCTCCCTCCCTCTCTCTCTGCCCCTCCCCCACTCGCACATGTGCCCTGTCTTTTCCTCCGAAAAATAAACATTTTTTTAAAAAATGAAGATACAATTGGAGTCATCCACTGGACAGAGAACCTAAAAAAATTTAGGGACTTTGGGACTCTTGCTTCCAACATTCTTGCTTGTCAGAGGGGGAAACCCAGCTCAAAGCACAGGCACCATGAGATGTGTGGCCAGGACTAAAGCATCCTGACTTCCTTGCAGTTCATGTGTTTCCACCAAAACCCAATGATTATCTTCCAATTGGTATAGGGAAGGGGAAGGGGGAGAATTTCCACAGAGGACCTGCATATGACTCTTCTGATACTATTCACGGTTATGAATTGCAAATTACTTTTCAAAATGACTTCTCTCAAAATACCCAGGCACCTGGCCACAGACTGCCAACCTAATGCTAAAATAGGCACCTTGATCAGCTCACCCTGTGACTTCAACCATTCAGCTGCATTTGACCACAGAGACAGACATCTCTGCCAAAAGAAATATGAACAGCCCTGGGAACTGATTACAAAATTGGGATTGGTCCAAACTTTTCAAAAGTGATGGCTCTGTTGTCTGGAATGTCTCACAGCCAGGACATTTTTCTCGACAAGTCAGCTCTATGTAATGAAAGCAATTAGAAGAAGTTCAAATGTGCACAGAACTTGTCTCTCTGCCTAATATGGAAATAATAATTAACTGTCCAAAATGTAAGCCCTGGATCATGGCTGATGATTCACCTTTAAGTTGTGCAAAGAAGGTCAAACCTTTTGTAAAACAGTTTAACAATGTGTATCAAGAGTCATAAAAATGTCTCTTCCCTTTGACACAGTAATCTTACTGCTGGAACTGATCTTAAGAAATGATCCCCGCCCCCACTCCCACCCCAAAAGAGATGTTCACTACAAAATGTGAATCAACTTAGATGCCCAATAATAGGGAAAATGTTAGTTATGGTACATCTTCCTAATGAGATATTACACAGACATTAAAAATGAATTATGAAGAGGGGTGCCTGGGTGGCTCAGTCAGTTGGGCGTCGGACTTTGGCTCAGGTCATGTTCTCACGTTCACGGTTCGAGCCCCGCGTCGGGCTCTGTTCTGACAGCTCAGAGCCTGGAACCTGCTTCGGATTCTGTGTCTCCCTCTCTCTGACCCTCCCCCATTCATGCTCTGTCTCTCTCTGTCTCAAAAATAAAAACGTTAAAAAACAATTTTTTTTTTTTAAAGCAGAACACAGGAGTGCCTGGGCAGCTCGGTCCGTTAAGCATCTAAACTCTTGGTTTCAGCTCGAGTCATGATCTCACAGTCTGTGAGATCAAGCCCCGTGTCTGGCTCTGCACTAACAGTGCAGAGTCTACTTGGTATTTTCTCTCTGCCCCTTCCCCACTCACTCTCTCTCACATTCTCTCTCTCTCTCAAAAATAAATACATAAATTAAAAAAAATTTTTTTAATGTTTATTTATTTTTGAGAGAGAGAGAGAGACAGAGCACAAGCAAGGGAGGAGCAGAGAGAGAGAGAGAGAGAGAGAGAGAATCCGAAGCAGGCTCCAGGCTCTAAGCTGTTAGCAGAGAGCCTGACGCGAGCTTCAACTCACAAACCACGAGATTATGACCTGAGCCAAAGTCGGATGCTTAACCAACTGAGCCACCCAGGCTCCCCTAAATACATAAACCTTAAAAAAAAAAAAAAAAAGCAGAATACAAATTATATGTGCATTATGATTGAGACCATATCCAAATCTTGTTTGTTTGTTTTGAGAGAGAGAGAGAGTGCATGTGCAAGCAGTGGAGGGGCAGAGAGAGAGGGAGAGGGAATCCTAAGTAGGCTCCACACCCAGCACAAATCCCACGAGGGGTTGATCTTATGACCATGAGATTATGACCTGACCTGGAATCAAGAGTCAGGCACTTAACTTACTGAACCACGCTTACAGCTCTCAAATCTATTTTCATGCAGAAAAAACAGAAGGTAGGATAATGGGTTATTCCTCCCCCCCCCCCCTTTTTTCCCTTAGCTTTTGGTAATGTTGATCTACTGTTTTGATCAATTTCAAAAGAAAAAAGTGTTATGTAGAATGCTCCATACTCTGCTCTATATAAATAAGTCAGTACATAAATACTTTTAAAACTATAAACAGCTTATTTCAAAATATTTAGCCATTAAAAATTGGGAGCAGGGTACTTGTCCAACATTTGACAGCCGACAGAATACTCACATCAGTATTGCCTCAACCCCCTCTTACCTGTCCAAAGTCAACCCAGATTCACCGGAGTCCAGGATACAGTCAGGTTGACCAGGTACACAGCTCCGCCCCTAGGGAACTCCCTCTCCTAAAGAAACTGGTTGTGTTATTCTGTATCCCAAGCTCCTACTATTTCTACCGAGGACCCAGTTTGTGCAAAGCTCTGGGACCATCCCCTGCAGCTACCCCTGTCCTCTGGAAGGCAAGTAAGTCCTATCGAGACTGGACTTTGGATCCTAGCTCCAAAGGTAGAAAAGTACACAGCTACGAGGACTTTGTTTTGATGTTTTTTTCTCTAAAACAGATTTTTCACACCCAGTGAACCTGGACGTCCCAGCCCTTCACAGGCAAATAAAGAGTGGGGCCTCTCTTCTTGCTTTGCGTCTGCTACCAAAAGCAGTGAATCACCCCACAAATCGTGTGGGGAATGAGCCTGAACGCTGACTACTTGCACTCTGCGTTCATGTAGATATTGGTCATCAATGTTCACACATGAAAGGAGACAGAGTTGTTCTTATCTAATCATTAAAAAGGAAAAATAAAAAACCTACCAAATTCTACTGATTTGTTTCACTGCCTTGAGACCAAAATGTTCATAAGAACTCAGAAATCTGTCTAGAGAAGTCATGCTATTGCTAAGCTAATGCTTGAAACTCAGACATGGTCATTTTGGTATGTCAGTAAATAATAAGAAATGAAAATAGACCCCATTATATATATATATATATATATATATATATATATATATATATACTGTTTCAAATGAATGTTCTGTCAATAATTCTTCAAAGGGAAAAAATTTAAATTTCACAGCATTTGTTTTTGATCTATCAAACTCTTTCTAAACCATCATACCTATGTTGCTCAAAAATTGTTGAGACCTTGGGTCAAGGAGACACTCGCGTTGGCTTTCAAAAGAAAATGTGCTTCTCTACACTAAAATGGCCACTTAAGCAAGAATGTGGAAATGATTTATCTCACAATGTTTAAAGTTGGATCTTTACTCTAGCTATGTCATGACTGCACAATCAGTCAGGGACAAGTAGTTATATGCTCCTAAACAAAGAAAAGCACTCTAATGGCCAAAAGAGTTGAGTATCTAACATAGCAAAATTACCTTAATAAAAGGTAAATTACCCACATCCCAAAGAATAAAAATCACTGATAACAATAATGCTTAAGTGTTAAGAACAGCAGAACATGAAATAGGTCTATTTACATCACATAAAGATTGCCTTCCCAATGTGGTCTTAAGTTAAGAAGTGATATTAATGCTGTATTATTAAGTCAGAATGAAAAAGAAAAGGAACCATGTGGCATCACCAGAGACTATAACCACATGAGAGCAGAGATTATTATTTATTTGGTTTCCTGCAGTATCTCCAGGACCTAGTAGGTTCTCAATAAGTATTTGTTGAGTAAATGAATGAATGCACAAATAAAGAAACAAAGCTCATAAAAATAAAAATATAGTTTGAAATGTGAGATTATAGAGGCAGGCATACTTGCCTTAAGTCATTAAAAAGATTCTGCTTAGAAGTGAATATGTTTGCTACATATCGTATTTTAAAAGTGGGTGTTAAAATTTAAGTACAGATCCCACATTTAAAACATGGCTAGGAGCGCCAGGGTGGCTCAGTCGGTTAAGCATCTGACTTTGGCTCAGGTTGTGATCTCAAGGTTCAAGAGTTGGAGCCCCGCAAAGGGCTCCGCGCTGACAGCTCAGAGCCTGGAGCCTGCTTCGGATTCTTGTCTCTCTCTCTCTCTCTCTCTGCCCCTCCCCTGCTCATTCTCTCTCTCTCTCTCTCTCTCAAAAATAATAAACAATAATAATAATAATAATAAACCATGGCTAAAGTGTTAATTGAACCAAATAGGAGCTATTCTAAAGATTGTCTCCATAGATTCAATCATATTGGAGTTTCAGAAGTTTCTTGGTCAAGTTGACTAATGGACTCAGAAGCTGTTCCTAGAAGTGTTACGAACTGAAACACAGTCCAAGATTGATCTTAACTCTTCCCAGGGTTACAGTCTAAAGCATATCCCACCCCTGTTTTACTCTAGCTCACCACCCTGTGTCCTTCCTTTGTAGCACTTATCACAATCCGGTTATCTTGTTTGCTATTCTCTGCTTACTTCACTAGAATGTTACTTCCAGGAGAGCAAGAACCTTGACTCTCTTCGTTTATCAGTGTATTCCAGCACCTGACACAGTGCCTGGTACCTAGTAGATATTCAAATTCTTAAAAATGAATGAATGAGTGACTAAATGAATAGTAGATCCAAGGTGAGGTAAATAGCTGCTTACTGGCTACGGGAAGGCATGTGTAAAACTATTCTTAGACTGCTGCCCTAGGCTGCTATACAACAATATGGAATTCTGTTTTTAATTAAGATTTGGTAAAAGGCATTGTAATTGACATATTATCCATGGATAAGTGATACAAGTCTTCCCATTCCAGACAGATTCTAAGAAAGATCTTGACAGCTCAAAGTTTAAACTGCTCTCAAGTATAAGAAGAGGCTTATATTTCCCAAAATAAGTTTTTAAACATTAAGGTATCTAAAACTGCAAGATTCCAGCTACAAAATCATCTGCAAGTCCATTCAATTTAACAAGCAACTATAAATCTCCTGCCATGCTTATTTTTATCAGCGGTAGAGTAAAAATACTCAATTCACTAATTCAATGGTGAATTTGTAGATCCTCTATCAAAGACATTTTAATTTCTTCATTTTGTCTTAACCTGTAACTTTAGGATACTCTAGTTTTCATTATATCTGGATTCTTAGGAAAAGATTTTACTTAACAGGAACTTTTCTTAGCAGTAGTAACTGTGAAATTGAATCTAGGTGTAAATTTACTGCCTAGCCTAACTAACTGCAGTGTATTTATTTTGCATTCCCTGAATTATTCCATGGTTTTGCAATATAGTCCATTTCCTTGGGCGCATCACGTCTATGGTACAAGTCTACTTTGAATAATTTTAGGGTGAAAAGATTCTGCTGGTATCAATCCACACATTTGTTGAAAATGGGACTTCCGGGGCACCTGGGTGGCTGATTTGGTTCAGCGTCCGACTTCGGCTCAGGTCATGATCTCACGGTTTGTGAGTTCAGCCCCACGTCGGGCTCTGTGCTGACAGCTCAGAGCCTGGAGCCTGCTTCCCATTCTGTGTCTCCCTCTCTCTCTGCCCCTCCCCCGCATGCTCTGTCTCTCTCTCTCTCTCTCTCTGTCAAAAATAAACATTAAAAAAAAAAAAAAGAAAGAAAATGGGACTCCCAACAACCTAGATGAATACACACCAGATCAACCTTCTTGAGATATATTCAGACATGCTACACATTGATAGGTCATGGTATTATCATGGTAACTTAAAGCCTAGCTAAAAATTAAGAAAGCATAAAAGTTCAACAATCATTTTTAGCTGTTTTACTTGTTTTCATCACCTTCCCATACACTGGGTTCGATATTATACAGTTTTTGCCTGTATCAATAATCATTCCAAAACCAGGTATAGCATGGATATTATTAACTCAGTTATTTTACCTTTGTGCAAATATTATAGCAACAGTAAAGGAAATTAGCATAAAGAAGGAAAGGATTAATGGCATAATACTGTCATTGCACCATATCAAATATTTCATTCCTTATCAATACATGAACATAATTTTAAATTGCCTTTATACTATACATGCTATTTAGAATTATGTCTTTTTTGCTTTATATGTTTCCATATATAGCAGACATTTCCATTTGTAACTTTCAGTGGTGAAATATACCATCTGATAAAATTTGTGATTTGTTTTAAATGCTCCTTCTGTGGGATATTGGGCATTTTTCTTTTGTTTGGGGGACACCATCAAAAATAACACTAAAGATACAGTTTACTAGAAAGTCTAAAACAAATTCTTGGGGGGCGCCTGGGTGGCTCAGTTGGTTAAGTGTCTGACTCTTGGTTTCGTCTCAGGTCATGACCTCACAGTTCCTGAATTCAAGTCCCATGATGGGCTCTGCACTGACAGTGCAGGGTCTGCTTGGGATTCTCTCTCTTTCCCTCTCTCTCTGCCTCTTCTCTGTTCATGCTCTCTCTCACTTTCACATAAACTATAAATAAATAAATAAATAAATAAATAAATAAATAAAGCAAGCAAGCAAGCAAATTCTTGGATTGGGATTAACAAGTCAAAAAACATGAACATTTTCACATCTTGATTACATTTCAACCCAGATTTAAAAGTTTATTCTCAGAAACATGAGTAATATGGGTGTTCCAGGAAGTATATGATGAATATTAAAATGTTATGGACTTAGTTTATATCAAGTAGAGCACTGGAGAAGTAGGATAGAAGTCATATCCAGTGACTGGTCCATCCAGCCCAGGAGTTTATGGGAAGCTGTGGTCCTCTGTGACAACTTACGAGATGGGTCCCCAAAACATCTTAGTTTTCTTTAGCACCATTTTGGAGTAATTATTCATGGAAGTATTTAAATACATACCCTACTCAGAAACCAGCTTTAAAGATACTAGCTATACCACTCAGATGGCAAGGACATTACTTTTTTGTTTGCCACTGTAGCACCAGGACCTCAAACAGTGCCAGGAAGTTACAAGTTTCCCCCACTCTCCGAAAACACAGTGTTCCTATGAAACCTCTCCTAAGCTCAAGTATCCTATAGCAAAGAAACAATTGCCATTCTGTAAAAATGAAAATCCTCTTCAGACTTATCTCAGTTGGTGAAAACAAGTACTAATGTAGGTCTTTCAAGTACTAATGTAGGTCTTTTGTAAAAACAAAGTGGCATAAAACAAACTTTCAAATGGTGATGGAGGGGGACTGTGTTAGGTACTATTTGTTGAATGAATCCATTTAATGAATATATATTTTTTAATTTTTTAGTGTTTATTTACTTTTGACAGAGAGAGAGAGACAGAGCATGAGCAGGGTAGGGGCAGAGAGAGAGGGAGACACAGAATCCAAAGCAGGCTCCAGGCTCTGAGCTGTCAACACAGAGCCCGATGCGGGGCTCGAACTCACACACTGTGAGATCATGAACTGAGCTAAAGTTGGATGTTCAACCGACTGAGCCACACAGGCACCCCCCCTTTAATGAATATTAAGAAAACCAAAGGAACTCACTACATAGGTGTAATTTGGTGCTTCATTCTTTCTCCTCACCCACCCCACACCCCTCATAGGATCTTAATTTACTTACAATCTACAAATCTCTTGGGTAGAACCCA